AAGGAGTCATTCCGTATTACTAATGGAAAACGTTGTCAGTGGCTGCGTGGCTGCTAAAGTATCAGCACACTGGAAATGCAAGTGTGTGAATGTCGCTCACCTGCAGGTGAGCGACATTCCGTTCGTACACTTAGGGGGGTAAAGGTGTGAATTTTTCCTAGAAAATTCACACGTTTGCCCCCCTAAGTGTACGAATGGAATGTCGCTCACCTGCAGGTGAGCGACATTCACACACTTGCATTTCCAGTGTGAGGGCCACGTTTTTATTACTATCGATCTGATGCAAATACCGACAAATTTCTGATGCCTGACGTCGTTTTGATATCGGTCTGACATTTCATTGCTCGCTATGGGTACCGACCCGACGCCACCGCCGAGTGGTTGGGCAGTGAGTGCGGACCGGGCATCAGTCCGGGCAGTCCGGGGCAGAGGGACAGTACGCCTGTGAGTACGGCCGCCCCCGCCCCCGGCCCGAACGCGCCCGGCGGGCCCGATTGGTATCGGCAGCTTGAGGGGCGGCGAGCAGAGAGTGGTGATCGTGGTGATCAGTTTGCGCGGACCAGTCCCGCCGTCGCGAGGTCCGAGATACGGTCGCCACCGCCTGTCTCCGCGCTCCGCGCCGCCCGCCTCTGTCTACGCGCGCACCGCGGCGGCGTCCGTCCGCCCCGCCCCCCGGGCCTTCCCCGTGAGGTAGGCGCTCACCACTCCCGGCCTAAACTTCAAGGGCTGGGCTGTTGTGTCTCAGCCAGAGGAAAAACCACGTAAGCTTGTATTTTCCATCCTCTACTCGATTTTGACCGGCGCTGGTCTCTCAAGATATTTTGAGTATTTTGGGCGGCCACCCTAGCGCGGGGTCCCGTCATCCGTCGCGTGTGAAGTTATTCTGCTCATGCGCAGACGCGTGGGCAGTTTAGCCTATCGTTTTTAACTGCGCTGCCTTGTGGCCCTCTGTGAATAGGCAACCACAACACGCAAGCACGCCTGCATGCAGTCCAGTACACTCCGAACGGGAACGGGAAGGCTCTGGCTACTTATAGCCAGCCCCCCGCCCCAATTCTTCATCGCCACCGACACCTCGAGTGAGAATTTGACCCCACCAACGAACCGCCCCGAAAAAAGTCAAGTTTTCCGACTTCGTGCGACCACATTGTGGCCACGGAGTAAAGATCTTTCCGTGGTGCGACCCGAAGCGGCGGCCGATCAGAGGAGTCCCCGCGAGCGACCCGACCGCGACCCACAAAGTGATCTGCGAGGGGACGGGGCGAGGTCAGCCGTCCGTCCCATCACTGCAAACTCGGCGGCGGCGTCTGTGACGCTGTGACAGTGTCCACTGAGTGCTGCAGACGGATGCAAACAGTCTGATGATGAGCGGCCGCGACGAGGGAAGCGAGGGAAGTCCCTCGACACAGGCCGGCCGCGCGGACTAACCCGAGGGGCCCTTTTCTATAAATTGTTGTACATTGTACACTGATTTTTCTGTTTCTCTTGATTTCTTGTGATTTTTTGTGATTTTTTTTTGTGATTTTTTCATGATTTTTTATGATTTTCTTCTGATTTTTTCGAAGAGTGTACACTGATTTTTTTGAGTGAAGTACCCCTCGGACCAACCTACCGCACCGTGCAGCTCTTGCGGGGCCTCAGCCTCCAGGTGAACGTGAGAGAGGCGGCGGTGTATGGCATCACATTGACGTCTTGCGGGTCATGACCGTCCAGACAGACACCAGCTGAAAAGATTGTCATATTTCGTCGATTTTTGGTGCGAAAAGGATTTCGCCGAGGCGTTGTTCGTGGCGATATGCGTGTTGGTGGGACGACTCCATCTTGCATGTGATGACGGTTCCGTTAACAGCATCAACGAAGACGTGATTGACCAGAGACATGCGGGGGAGGCCCGCGGCGGCCTCCGGCCGGAGGTCCTGACCGGTCCCCTGACCCGCGCGCGCGCGGCACTCCCCCGTTGCGTTGCGACACCCCGTAGTATGTGCGGCTATCGCGCCCGCGACGCGAGACCGATTCGAGCCATCGAGATCGAGAGCTCGCGGCCGCTGCCGGTGAACCTCGACGCACACACCCCCTTCAGTGAGCCGCCCCGCCGCTCCCGCCTTGCCGGGTGGCTGCTGCTGCCCGCCTTCTTTCGAATTTCACCATCGGACAAACAACAATGGGGACTTGGGGGCTTATCAGCCTCATCAGCCTCTGCACCCACCGGCCCGGGGCGGGTCCCTCGCGGGGGCCTGTCCGCGGCCCGAGATGGATGGTGATCGGAATGTCAACGTCCTGAAGCGCGCCGCGCCGCGCGGGGCGGGGCGGGGCGGGGCGGGGCGG